TTGTCTAATAGTGTTACATGCATTCAGAGATGCCTTCTCCAAGGCTGTCACCTAGCATGCGCCTACACTGCACCTACACTGTAACCTCTAAGGTGCCTCCCATCACGTCCAATAGTGTTACATGCATTCAAAGATGCCTTCTCCAAGGCTGTCACCTAGCCTGCACCTACTCTGCAACCCATGCCACCTCTTATTTGCCAACGGGGATAACGACACCTTTTATTTTTGTACTCTTTCGCCAAGTCCAATGGTGTCTCCCTTCATGTCCAATAGTGTTACATGCATTCAGAGATGCCTTCTCCAAGGCTGTCACCTAGCATGCGTCTATACTGCACCTACACTGTAACCTCTAAGGCGCCTCCCATCACGTCCAATAGTGTTACATGCATTCAGAGATGCCTTCTCCAAGGCTGTCACCTAGCTTGCGCCTACTCTGCACCCCATGCCACCTCTTATTCGCCAACGGGGATGGCGACACCTTTCATTTTTGTACTCTTTCTTCAAGTCCAATGGCGCCTCCCTTCATGTCCAATCGTGTTACATGCATGCCAGAGATGCCTTCTCCAAGGCTGCCACGTAGCCTGCACCTACACTACAAGAGTGACACTTATCATGCATGCATGCACACCCCTACCATCTCACTTACTCTATGAAATTTTTTTGCCTATAAATACAGAGCATTACATACTTCTCTCGCATCCACAGTCGTCTCACTCTCTGCTACAAACTCTTTCATAATCTCTTACAATTTCAAACTCTTTCATAATCTCAGGCATTTTCAACAATGGCTCTTCTCACAATGGGCGATTCTCACAGAGGCACAAGGGACAACATTGCAGCATTTGTAAGTTTCTTTTATAGTTATACATTTTTCATACTTCTAGTAATGCTTTGTTCATCTTACTTACTCTTACACCTTTTACATTATTAACTTAGGATACCAAAAGATTCAGAATCCGATCATACAACTACCTTGCTCCCGACCCATTGATCATACCATATCTGGAATACACAGGTTTCAGAAACGTTATAAATCCAACTGTACAATTGATTCAAAGTTCATACTTATAATATTGGAAAGGTGGAGACCATAGACCCATACATTTCATCTACCAATAGGTGAATGTACCGTCACACTAGAGGACGTGTACATGTTATTGGGTCTCCCTGTCAACGGTAAGGCGGTTAACGGGTCGGTTCAACAACCCAATTCTCTGTGTGAATAATTGTTGGGCAGGGATATGGTTGAAGGTGGTGGTGCGAGAGGTCAGGATATACTACTAACTGAGCTAAAAAATCATTATGCGACTCTGGAATTGAACGAAAATTCCTCCGAGCTAGCTAAGGTAATAAAAGCTAGAACTTATATAATGATACTATTTGGAACCTTTTTATTTCCTAAAAGTACGGGAAATAGTGTAAATTTTATGTATTTAAATTTACTTAGAGACTTCGAAAAAACTAGAAAGTATAGTTGGGGTTCTGCTGTTTTAGCCCACCTATATAGTTCCTTGTGTAAAAATGCAATCAAGGAAAAATGTACATTTTATGGTTGCGCTTTTTTACTTCAAGCCTGAGATTGGTGGAGGATGGAGTCCCTAAACCCCGTCAACAACAACACATTCGTTTTCCCATACACAACAAAGTAAGTCATCAAGTTATATCATTTATTACTATTCATCTCTTCACCAAATATATGATAAAAATAAAATATTTTTCATTTCCTTTAGGTATTGCGTGAGGGATATGGATTACGGAAAGAATCCAAGATTCAATGTCGCACTATACCGCAATCTATTGGATCACCTTGGCCCAGATGATGTACGTCGTACCTTTCAACTTTTCTACTTTTAAATTATTTATATATTACATTTTTATTAACCTGATTTAATTTTATCTGCAGTTTGTATGGAGACCATATTTGGGTTTGGGCCATGAACCAAACCCCGAGGATGTAGCAATTTGGAGCGCAAAGACTGCAATCATACGGTTCAATATTGTGGAGATGCACCACAACGACCGTGTGAAGATGCAGTTTGGAATGCATCAAGAGATACCCAGCGATCCGACTTGTTTGTCCCCGTGGCATCTCAAAAGGGTCGACGCCCAATGGGGTCTTACTAACTGGAAAAACTTTGCTCCAGAATGGTGTAAGATGTGGCAGAGGTGTCATCGACATGTCTTGCAATTCCCAGTTTTCCTTAACCATGGTAATATGCGACACACGAATCAGTATTTATCTTGGTACAAATCGGTTAGTACCCCTGAAATGCACGTGTCTCATCCAAGGTATTTGGTTGACCCACGAACACAATGGGCACAACCCTCATTTCCCCAACAACAAACCCAACACACATCAATCTCCCACCAATCCCCCAGACGAAACAGAACCACAAACACCCAACCACAGTCACCACCACAATACAATTACACCCACATGCCCCCACAACCAACCACAATCACCACCTCAGTACCAATACCCCCATATGCCTCACACCCAACCATAATTTCAATCACAATACCAACACACCCGCATACCCCATACACAATTTCAGTCTTCTGCATATCCCAATATGGGCCCCTCAACATCCAACCTTAGCCCTGATCTGGGATTGTCCAAAGATTATGAACCAACCGACCCAACTTACCATCAACCACAATATCACCAAACCACCCAACATCCTGAATACCAAACACCTCAAGATCCATTTCCTTTCTATCCCCCGTACTCAGACGACCAGTGCTACAGACCAACCATGAAACCCATTGCCAACACGACCAAACTTTAAGGGTATGGGTAACCGACTGTACCAAAGTGAATCTTCTAGATATGGAGATCTGACTGATTTCATGGATCCGGAACGCATTGATTTCGTTGGGCCATCGACCCTGCCACAACAGGAAACGCGACGAAACTCAGCACGGGAAAGGCGAGGATGGGGATGCGGAACCGGGGGTCATTACCAGGTTTCGGGGGACCACTGATTAATCTGTTTTTTTTTATGTAAAAGTTATGTGCGTAATCATATTTTGTAAATAAAAAGTCAATTTTGTTGATCCTATATCGAATACGTAACGCACCACATTGAAAAAAAAAACGCGAAAATTTCCCTACCAAATGCACTAAGGCGTCATCTCACTTGGCTTAGGGCAAGTCCTTAGCACCTAGGTGCTAAGTGAGATGGCGCCTCCCCTTAAAAATTAAGTGTAGGCGCCAAGTGAGATGGCTCCTCCCTTGGGGAGTCTTCTGAAACATGGTTATTTGCGTAATTTTTTCCAAAACACGGTTATTTGCGATTTTTTTTAATACTTAATTATTCTAAAAAAAAAATCGATATTTATCTCATTTACTTCTTAACTATTCCTAACATCTTAATTATGGTTGAATTTTTCATTAAATTAAGATAATGAAATATTGATTTGAAATAAACAATATTTTAAAATATAGGATTTGTATCATGTTATAATTCATGTTTTTATTGAACTTAATGAGAAATAAATTAAACCTAATTGACTTTAATGAAGAAAAATACAATATATTGAAAAAGAAAAAAAAATTACTTAGACAGAATAAAAAATGTTTTTGGAAATGAGAAGAAAGACAATAGTATAGTAAGACAATGTGAAGAAGAAAAAAAAAAGAGTAAATATGAGAATGAACTGATTGGATATGAAAAGATTAGTGTAGTCAGAAAAAGTAGTCAGAATAAGAAAGAATTGATTGGATTAGTATAGTGCTGTCAGTGTAATGTAGTCAAAAAGACAAAAAGTTTGACTAGTGTAATCAGTATAGTCAGATTCAGTATAATCACAATAAGAAATAACTGATTGGTTATAAGTATAATCAGAATAAGAAAGAACTGATTGGATTAACACAAATAAGTCTGATCACTATAGTTAGAATGAAAAAGAAATCTTTTTTAAAATGAGAACTAGTTTAGTCAAACTCAATTATTTAGTTTTATGGTTTAAATATAGATATTTATATAAAAGTTATACATACCATCAAAATTCCTAACAGTAGTAGGTAATAGTACAATATATAAAAAAAAGCCACTAACTCATTATTTCTTTGAATCAATGAGATTAATGTGTGGATTTTGATCCTCTCATGTCATCTCTCTCATGTTTTTCTCTCATGTTTTGGTCATATGCTCTAATCTTAACCTTTGATTCATCTCTTTCTTTCTTTCATTTTACTTTTGTTTTTACTTTGAGTTGGAATCTACCATTAAATTAGAAACAGGAGAGAAGGCTGGACCACAACATGAGAGGATCCAAATTCTTAATGTGTCTATCTACCTATCAACATCATACCAAATGTAATAGTATGTGGAGTATATTGTAGTATATTTTCATTTATTCAAATTCTCATTTTTATAAAATTCTATGACTCCTACTGCTTGAGAAAATGTATGATTGTGTGTACAACTACTACATCTTTATAAATAAATGCACACAAAAAGTACAACTTTCCTAATATATATATATATACTCTTAAATGTATATAAAAACTTACCTAAAAATGTGTACACACAGAAAATAAAACTTTCCCAAAAAGTGTACTTTTAAATGTATATAAACCTCATACTTTTTTAGGTTTAGGAATTATGGCAAACTTTAATATTTATTATTTTTTGTCAAATAATGTAAAAATTAACACGTTACCTTATCTAAAATCTTTTGAAAACAAAAAACATTGAAATGACAAAGACTTTGTGGCTCATGATTCAAATTCTTCAAACCCTTTCAACTATGACAAATCATTGTTTGAACTCATCAAAAACCACATGATACACAGTGTCATTTCACATTTCAACAGATTTCAACAGGTTAAAAACAGAAAGCATTTATGTGAGATGAGAACTAGAACTAGAACTAGAAGTACATAATACACAAACATGCACATAAACAAAATATCCAACAAGATCACACAAGTCTACAAATTTATTTAAAAAAAACCATTAAAAAAAAGATTATACAAAGAGACTAACTTAAACTTAATAACTACATTTTTTTCGTTCATCTTGTTGTACAATCCCTTCATTTCCAGCAAGCATCAAATACTTATCCCTCCGAGTAAAATTCGTACACTCGAACCCCAAAGCATCACCCAACTTTTTCTGTATATAATTCGCAACTTCAAAACTCGATTTTCCACCCGCGCATGTAAGTTCTTTAGGCACTTTCTCGAGAATTTGAATATGATAACTTGGCTTCGGGTTCATCAAGAAGAAAATAGGGTCCAAACACTTCAATCCACTAGCTGTTGTACCATAAAACATGCTGACATTAGTATCCATTGCCACGGGAACTATCTCGTCAGCCAACTCAGCGAAAAGCGAACTAAATCTTAACAAATACGGTTCTCTACAAGTCGTTCCTTCAGGACAAACAACTAAATCACCTTCACTTAGCAACTTTTGCATGGTTTCGCCGTCTTGTTTTCTGTTTCGAGTTAACCTCACTGTTTTAATCGGTGCTATGAACTCGGAAACCTTGCTTAAACTATAAGTTACAGCTGTTAAAGGCTTTGCTAATGATGTGCTTAGGAAAACTGGATCCAACAGTGTCCTATGTGAGCATACAAACAAAACACCTTTGTTTGGTTTTGTTTTTTTAGGAACAGTTCCTTTGATTTTCAGATCTATGCCACTATAAACTCCGAGTTCGAGTGCTAGTTTGTAAGGAAGGATAATGCCAAGAAGGATTCTGTAAATTGCTAAGAAAATTCCAATTGGTAGCCACATGAACATGCAGAATGATGCTGATGGTGTTGGCAGGAATGCTAATCTTCCATCATGAAATATTAATGGTTTTGGATATTTGTCCCGTGTCATCGTCATCGAGTTTGGACTATTCTTGTTGCTTTCTTCATTATTCATCACATATGCTTCCTGTCATATTCATCAAAACATGATTAATGATGCATGTGTACTAAATTAATTATATTCTAAAATGCATTAGATTTGTACTATGTTTATGTTGTTTTTTGTGCTAAACAATATTAACATTACTAAATAAGGAAATAATAATGTTGATCTTGAAATACACAAACTTGTTGTCAAAATGGTTTTCTTTTGAGGATAAATAACACATGCAATGTTTCTATTCAAAGTTAGTTTGACAGAATCTGTCACCTAATTTTGATAATATTTATTGTTGAAAATATTGAAAAAACCACTGATAATACAATATTTTGGATTGACAGTGAATTTGACAGAATTACGCTATAATTTTGATAGCAACTTTGTTATTTAGACACATAAAATAAAACACTAGTCCGAAATTCCACTTGCACGTATGTGGTTTTAGAATATGAGAGAAAAAACAATAAAAAAAAAGTCGAAATTTCATGTTAGATATGGCAATTTAAAACATGAATGTGATTCAAACAACATTTGGAGCAAAGTTCAAAGAAGCATTGATTTCAAACATGCATGTGATTCAAACAACATTTTGAAGCTAAATTCAAACATACCTTGCAAGATGAAAAGAAAAGATGATCATTCAAACTGGAGGTTCCGATTCCAATATCGGGTTTTCGATCACCAAAGTATTCTTTAAGAGCTTTATTCTTCACAACCAAGCCAGAAGAAGTAAGACAACCAGTGAAGTAGCCACCAATAGCATGCAACTCAGTCCCTATAACATCACCGACACTCAAATATTCCTTCAAAAAACCCTCAACCATAACTCTAGGAACATTTGTGATAACAAGTTTAGAACCAGTTCCAGCAAAAATCTCACAAACATGAACATTAAGATTCTCTAAATAAAACTTAGGTAAAACAGCCCTTGAAACATTCTCCATGTCCTTGATTTTCAAACCACAAAAGGTTATGAAAGTCATAACCTTTATCTTCATCTCATGATCACAAACCATGAGAAAAGGACAAGACATAAGCAAGAGAAAAGCTCTGAAAATGCTGCCACCTTCAAAAGCAACAAGCATGAAAAAAGGAAAAAAGGATTGAGTTTTCAAGATGACTCCATGAATGTCACAAACTATTGTTTGTGACATTCTATTTCTACCTTGTACATCACATTTTGCTATACTAGGATAAGAACATGTTTGATGAGATGGTTTTGATGAAAGACTAAGACCAAAGGTTCTCATTTTTCTTGCTGCTCTATAGAATGAATTTGCAAGTAGTTGGTATAAAACCAAGTCTACAAGACTTATAAGAGAAACCATGAATGATATTTTGAAGAAAACAACAAAAAAATGTAAATAGAAAATAGTAAAAATGGGAGAAGATTAAGGAGAGGAATCTGAAATGTGTGAGTGTGTGAGAGGTGAAGAACAAACTGTACAGATAGTAATATTTATAGAGTCATTAAAGCAGTGATTGAAGCATTTGGTTAACCACACAGTTGGCATTAACTTCACCTTACACATTTTTTGGTTTTGTTTTTGAAATTGAAATTCTATTTACATGCTATAGTGCTTCCAACATGTTGCCAGATAGAAGTAATAATGTTTTGTTGAGTAGGTAGGTTAAGATGTTGGTGACCGTCTCTAATATTCTTTCAAAATGTTGGACCAAGGGGGCACACACTATACCATTCATTTTAAATCTCACATAGTTTATCTTTGGTGTCACAAAGAGACTTTTTCGAAATTAAGATGAATACTAGTTTCTTTATAAGTATAGGTATGTGCACATATATTTCTTTGATGGCCTAACTTCATCAAACGCATTCTCTTAATCCACTTTCTCTTGCTATTTGGTACTATATGAACCAATAAAAAAGTTAGATTACCAACACTAAAGCAACAGTTGACTTTTAAATAAGTCATTTTTATAATCATATTTGGTCAAAATAAAATGCTCCTTCAATTAACCTACCTCTTGTCCTTGACTCATAGCGGCTAGTACTTTTGAATTATAGACTGTCATTTTGACTTTTTATTTGGTAAATTACTTTTACACATTCCCAAGCTATTACTGTATTAATGATACTTTAAGTGAATCAGTTAATAGTTGTGATTTTAATTGCATAATTAAATGTCTCATGAGCTAATTAATCACAATTCAATAACCTTAATTAGAAATTGATTCTTTTGTTTTATGAGGCCTGTATGTTTGTGTGATGGTTATTTTAGAAGAATTCATGTAACTTTCATTTACTGGTTTGGTGAACGTTTAATCATTTGATATTGCTGTTCAAATGCACAGTGTTTGCATGACACTGTTTAAGATTCTCAAATCTATACTTGTGTTTTTCTTTTCTCACGTTTGTCTTGCGTGACCAAAATAAAAATCCTAGTAATAAAAATACTCGTAATTCAAGATCCACATGACTATAACAAGTAGTTGGTACACAAATATTTGCATTTTTTTTTAAATAAATATCTTGTTACTGAAAATAACAAACAATTAAATTAAAATTGACCGAATTCTTTTTAGTCAAAAGATAATTAAAATAAAAATAAAAGATAATTGAATATGAGATAGATATTTTTCTACAGCTCAACAAAATTTACAAAAATTAAAATTATAAAATAATCAAACAAAACTAAACTTTACAAGGCTAACTATTTTAACTTAGAACTATCTTTAAAGATGTACACATAAAATTTTATATTTCATTAATATCAAATTGTATCTAAACAAAATCTCCTAAATTTTTATCACTATTAAAACATAATTAAATTAATTTTAATTTTTTTTATTGTTGAACTATGACTGACTTATACATAAACTAAAAAAACGTGAGACCATCCTGCTTTGGCTTGTATAATAAGTGTTGTTTATAAATATTACAGAAAATTTTTACATTTTATTATGCATTAAATCAAATTTGTTTTTGCAATTTATTATTTTTTCTTCAATTTTATTCAGTATTTTAAAAATCGAATTGATCATTAAATTGGTAAGAGTATTGAGTCACTTGTTTATTGATCGAATTATTAAGCTATTGATTGAACCGCATAACTAAACTTGATTAAATCGGATAACTCGATTGAATAACCTGATCTTTATAATAAAATTATATAAATATAAAACAGGTTGAATCGGATAATTCAATCTATATAAAATATAACTAATACTTAAATTTTAAAAAAATATCATATCTTAAATTCACAAATTTATAATCTAAATTCAAATTTTAAAGAAAAGTATCACATATAACAAAAGTACAAAAGTACAAAATTAAATTGCAAACAAAATCTAGTTACAATAATCTAATTAAATATTTTTTAATAAAATAACTCAAATGCGTACTAAATTTAATTTAAAAGAGAGAAAATTATTTCAATATTGAAATCTCCTTCATCAATATTAAAATCATGTGCAATAAAATCAATCACATTTACAACCGTTTTTCTATCAATGATATCATTACTTTATTTTGTTTTTTGTTTTTTATTTTTTATTTTTTATTTCAATTCTTTGATTTTTTACTTTAATTTTTTAATTACAATAATTAAAATGGTGACGTTTTAATTTTTTTAAAATAAAAATAAAAATGAAATTAAATCACTAATTTAGAAAAATAATTGATTTTTTTGATTTTCTCGGCTATCGCACCTGCTCAATAATATAAGCAATCTAATAATTAAATTAAATTAATTACTTAATTGATTTTCAATTCGATCGATAAATCGATTCAATCCAATTTTTAAAACACTAGTTGGTTTTACTTGTGTCCGTTTATGTTCTCTATAGTGGATTGGCTTTGAATCTTTAATTAAGTTCACCTAAGAATCTAGGATATTTCAATGGAGTATTTCCCAATCCTTAGATGAGAAATATCACGTGCAGGCTTTTGTTATATTCAGAATGTCATTATTACTAGTTTTTAGTAAAGATAGTCCTTTTCAACTATTGTTTTACTATTAAAAATTTTACACACATAAGTAAAACATGTGTGAAAATATGATTAATTCAATAAAATAAATAGTTACTATAAATTAAAGTTAAAAATATTGTTAATTCAACTATATAAATTAACTATAATTTATTATGTGAATTAACTAATTATCTCTTCAAATGAATTGATTGTAGTTTTATGCAAGGGTAATCTAGTATCCGAAAAATGAGTGTATGAACTTCAACATTGTACTATTGTTTTATTATACTAGAATGTAAAAATTTGAACACAGTACTATAGTTTTTACAACTTAATAATTTTTGAAATTATAAAGAGAATAAAAGTGATGAAAAAAAAGAACTTGTAAGAATATAGGAGTGATAGTACTCTTCCAAATTTTGATTTAAAAAATGAGTGGTATCTTAATGTGAACATTTTTTTCATTTTAAATATTCAAATATAATAGGATATTATTTATTTATTTTTTAATCTTAACTATATTATTATTTCTCATAATTTATATTTAGTGTTTTATTTATTCTTAAGTTTTCAATTGTATCGTGGATTTGTAATAAATTGTAATAAAAATGTAATAAAGTAAATTTAAACTACTATTTCTTGTCAAAATAATGTTATCAATACCGAAAAATAATAAAATGTGATTATTTTATTTTTGTTGAATTCTATAGTTAATAAATATTATATATTATAATTTATTTTGTTTTTGCAGAACCAGAAATAGTGGAGATTGTGAAACTACGATGGAGCGAAATTTTCAGAGTATTACGATGATCTGACACCGTGGATCGAAGATTGTGATCCCAGTGCTTCTTGAACTAGAGCTATCGGCCTTGATGCGATGTCGATAATCAATATTTTCTAACTTCGATACGGTAGATCTAGAGGGTATCTATATGGTAAGCACTACAACGCCTAAGTCAGTTAGGGTTCAAGATAATGGTAGTGAAAGTGGAGATTAGAGATTGTGTACATGAAAATCCTTTACGAAGAAGGTATTTATTCCTTGGGCCTGCTAGGACAGATCGAATAATGGGCTTCGTGTTATCGGGTCTTTGGCCGGTGCGGAGTAATGGATCCCGAGCCTTTGGTCGGCACGAAACAGTCGGTCCCGGGTCTTTTGTCAGCACGAAACAGTTGCCTCTAAGACTCGCCGAGCATGTTTGATGCCAGTGAAATCTTCTAGTAGTCGTCGGTCTATGGGGAAGCCTGTCTAGGCGTCGGATAGCATGCGCCTCTTTGGTTTTTCCAAAGCATGATGGAAAGTGAGCATTAACTACAATCCCATTATTGAGACGTTTCGTCATTTTTCTTTGACGTGTGACCTAAAAAGATATGGGATGATGTGACACAGCTTTCCGTGTACTCGAGTATGTTAGAACAAAATTGGTTTGTACCATATCTCTCAAGTTTTGATGATAATAAAGTATTTAAAGAACAATTGAACATATTAATGTTTATTCAAGTGTGCATGAACATAGATTAAAATTCATACACAAATTCAGCTCTAACACTGCATTGAACATTCAAAAGAGAAGCTTAAAGTTGCAGATTCTGAAGATCAAACTATGAAGAATCAACCTTTGTAGAAGTCAACTTCTGAAGACCAGAGTTTGAAGAAAAGTCAACCTCTGATGGATCAGAACCTGAAGATCCCAGACTCTGATCAAGTTAACATTTGAAGATCAAGTCAACCTCTGAAAACTCAGATTCTGAATGATTAGAAGCTAAGATTCAGAACATGAAGCAAGTCAAAGCTTAAAAATCAAGAAAATCTGATAGGTCATCACTATCAAACTCTGAAGACATTTTGTCTTCTTCTGATCACGTGAAGACTTCGTAGAATTTCTACAAAAAATAGATGGGGTGCAATTGATAATTCCTTTTGTAGAAAATGAGTTTCAAATGGAATTGCAATGGCATTAACCTTATCATGAAGCTCTCCAACGTATCTCTAGTTGCTTCTCTTAAGACTCGCTTATGTAAGAAGGTTTCTCCAATGACTCTTTTATGGTTATTTATAAAAGGAGCTGAAGATTTGGAGAAAGACGTAAAAGACTACGCCTTGACAAAAAAAGAGTTGTTACTCTGTCAAAACATTTACACAAGCTTAACTTAGGATTTCTTAACCCTTGTATATTCTATAAATCCCTAAGTCTTAGAGTCTGATTGTGTTGTATTTTGTTTACACCTCTGATTGTATATCAAGTGTAAGTCTTAAACAATCTTTTATCTGTTAGATAGATTGTAGGAAGTCTATTGTTGTTGCTTGATCATTGAATTCTCATTCTCGTGTACTTGAGCATTGAAATCTCTTGCTTGTGTGTTTGAGCATTAAAGTCTCTTACTTGTGTGTATAAGCAATTGAAAGTCTCTTGCTTGTATACTTGAGCATTTGTAATCAAATTTGGTTATAATAGAAATCCCTTGGAAGTGCAAGGGGACTGAACTACTTTTGAGTTGTGGGAGTAATCATATTTTGAACGTTCATAATTTCAAAGACTTAAAGCTTAGACTTTTTTTGGCTCTCTTCCTCACTTCAGCGCTTTTGCCCTTATATTTCAAGGAAACTTATCTTTACCTTAGATTTTACTCAAGTATTTATCGTACTTTATTACGATGAATTGAAACCTAGTTTTTGTTGAGAATGATTCAAATAGTAGTGTTTCTTCGTCTTTTAAAATGGGAATGGAGTCTGAATCACGTTCCTTCCCCTCTATAGGTGGGGATTTTGAATTAGGAGTCATCCTTTTGAGTGATGATTCAAAAATGGAAGGTTCGTATGGAGAATTATTTCAAACGAAGTCCTTTCTTAGGATTCTTCAGAAATTTTGTTTTAGGAGAAATATGACGGGGGTGAAAGCCTTGTCGAGAGACTTATGCCTCCTCCCGTCCTGTTCGAGGAAGAAATGAAGGTTTCCCGACAAAGGAAGGAACATGCTAGTCGCTTTGTTAAAACATACCAGGAGTCAACTGATTACGACCCCAATGATGGTGAAATTTCTCTTCATATGGATGTCATGGGCGACATGATGTCGTGTTCTGGATCATACCCATCGACAATCATAGGGCTGACATATTGATATATAAAGGTCTTCAATTAATATAGAGGGTCAATGCCAATAGGTGCCATTGGATAGCCACCAAAATAGTTGGGACTCCTTCTATCTTGAACACTACTGACATTGTAACCCAAGTCGATATCACGACTGGCAATCCCCTAGATTGAGAAATTCTTCCAGTAGGTCCAGATGAGAGGGTATGCAGCTCTTTTGAGGGTTGTTCCATTATTTTGTATGAGTCTCCCTTCACTAGGTTGGCATACGTCTGCCTTTCTCTGACTTTGAGGTGGCCATGATGAACCATATAGAAGTTACCCCCTTGCAGCTTCATCCTGGAGCTTGGGATTTTATAATGGTGTTTCGGCTTTATGTTGAGTACAAGTCTTGGAAACCTTCACTGGAGCTCTTCTTCAACCTTTTTTCTATAGCTCGAAATTTGATAGATGATGCTCGGGATCAAGGATTGACATCCCTTTTCCTCAAGTACCTTGGTTCAACTATTTTTCCTTTGATTGGGGTGATTTCCTATAGCATTTCATATTGGTGAAAACTGTCACTTTTGAGGTGCATTTGTTCTTCTATTCATCTCTGGCCCCGATAGGAAGTCCCCGCTCTTGCAGAGGTGGTTTTTGGAAGCATTATTCCAGAGTTTATTTCCATCATACTATTTCTTCTTATCATTCTGGGCTACCTCCTCTGTCCCCCGAACGAGTAAAAATGAAAGAGGATTTATACGCTTGGTACCATGCACTCAGATGTGAAGAAGAATTTGGTCCTACCAAAGTACTTTCCTTTCATCAAAAGAAAAGGCGAATAAATACTCACGAGATAATAGTGCATCCGACCCGAGAGACAAAAACTCTTTGGTGAGGATGGGGGTCCAGGTGTTTCCTTTATTTATTTATTAATTTTTTAACAATGCAACTCATGCTTTACAGGTAACATGAATCAATTAAGTCAATTGCGAAAAGCTCTGATGTTTGCAAAAGACCATGGGCTTACAACAAACTTGTATGTCTAAGTGCCGGTGGCACTTGTTCTTTCTTCTACTTCTAATCTGGAGGCACGAATGTCTACTATGGTGGTTGCACTGGCAGCAGTTAAGACTAATATCTCGATCGCAGCTTATGAGGTGAGTCAATCGGCTCCACTTGACTTTAGGATATCTCCTTGATGATCTTGGACTTGTCAAAGTAGGGGGTGACCCTTGTAATTTCTTTTGTTAGGCATACTAATTTTGTTGAGAGGGCCGTTGGAGTTATTGGTGTAGGGGAATCTTGTATGATTGAGGCATCAGAGGCGTTGTGTAGGCTTGTTGTTGGCATAGTGAAGGGTTGCCTTCTCTTCTCACTAAGACTTGTAGGACCAAGCTTATTTAAGTCTTTAATGGCTAATATCCTCCTTCCATAATTTAGGACTTTCTTGAGTTTATTTGTGAGTCTCAGAAAATCAGCTAGCATGGATAATGGATAAGGGAGAAAGTGGCAATGGATATGCAAACGTATAAATGTATGTATGGGACGTATGAAAATGCATGGATATGAAAAAAGATTAATTTTTTTTGTTTTTAGGGTATCTAAAAAATTTCATGGAGATGCAATGCAATGCGGGGTTAGGATAAATATAAACCTAAATATACCATATATAGGTTTAGAGGTAATGACTGACAAGAAAGAATTTCTTATGGGTGATAGTCAAATCAAAACCCCTACAAGCTAGGGATTATGACAGACAAATGGAAATCCCTATAGGCTACGGATTATGACACACATAAGGAAAACCCTGCGTGTTAGGAATTTCAACATACAAAGGGAGCCTATATGGGCCTAAGGATTGCAATTGACAAAAGGAAACCCTTGTGGGTTTAGGGACGTATATGGAGAGAAGATAATCCTTGCGGTTTCAGGATTGTAATAGAATATCCTTTGCGGGAAGGCTCCCTATGAAGGATATGTTAACTAAATAACCTATATGGGGGCTCCTACAGAAGGTTCTAAGTTTATTCTACCCATGCCAGTAAGGGTGGTTTCTTTAAGGTATCATTGATAACACAAAAGGGAAAAAGGCACAAGGGTCTCCCTTAAGTGGATCCTCTTTGTAGACCGAAACTTTCGTCTTGTAGGTCGTACAAGGTCTCACCATGAGATTTTACTTCGGGTTATATAAAGAGTCATTGGTCAAATCCTAAAGTCCAACCTCCAAGTGAGTCTAGACCTCTAAAAGATATTTCTCAGAATTCAACCTACTCTAGGTGAAGTCGTCGCAAAAACTCATAGGGATGTTAAACCCCCTCGGCCAATTAAAAATCCTTCTTCTATGGTTTATTCTTTTTGTTATAACAAAATCCCACCAATAGAATTAATAATATGATAATAATTGAATAACAACAAATAAAGAAACAAAATATTAAACAAATATGGAAACAACTAGCATGCTATAGATAGAAATCCAAAAAAAACTAGACCTATGAGGGGGATGGGGTAAACTCTAACCTTAGGGTTGTCTCCTAAGGAGAGTCGCCAGCTATCATAATCAGAAAAAAATATGAGTCGCCACCACTAATTTTTGTCCTAAGGACGGGAAAGAATGAATAACCTAAATTGTTTAGAGATTCTAAGTTCCTGAGTTGGTTAGACGAAGGGAAGGTATTAAGCACCCTCTATCTCCCTTGTTCTTAAGGGGAATCCTATTTTAGGTTTAAAGGTAGATCAGAAATTTTTATTTTAATACATTGTTTCCATATGTTTGAGAAAATGTTTAGTTTTTTAGTTATGGGACTCGCCTTGGTTTTAACCGGGTGCCTATGTGTTGTACCCCAAAATTTTCCCTCTCATTTTATTCAAGACATACTCATAGAGGTCCCCAAATGCTCAAGGTTGACTAAGAATTGACCAGACAAATTCTCCTCTTAAGCAATAGACTTCCAACTAGGGTTTCACTTTTCACAAAGAAGTTTGGGTTTCAAAGGTATCAAGTGATTTCCATGGTTCCTAATATGTCATCAAGATTGCTCATGCCAAGTTTCATGCATTGCATCACAAGTTTGCTTAATCAATGACTCAAATGTTTGAAAATCAACTATATTGGTAAAAAAGTCAACTATGGTCAACATACAGACAAACTTCAAGATTTTTGGTCAACATCAACATTTCGAAGTGATATCCATCATTTTATCAAGGGGTGATCATGATACCTCAAGGAAGCGCTGGCTATGATAAAGCCTTTAGCAGCGCTTTTAGTAAGCACTGTCTAAGGTATACCCTTTAGCAGCGCTTATTCTTATTTTTTTATTTTATTTTTATTGAAAACCTATAGCAGCACTTAGGGAAAGGAAGCGCTGTCTATGATAAGGCCTTTAGCAGCGCTTGTAGTAAGCGCTGTCTAAGGTATACCATTAGCAGCGTTTACTCTAATTTTTTTATTTTTTTTTTATTTTTAAAACCTATAGCAGCGCTTATGGCATAAGCGCTGTCTATGTGGCGCTGTCTAAATTCAATTTTGACATAGTGCTTTTATAAAGGCAAAAAAGAGACGTTAGAAGATAACTTGCCCAAGTGATCTTTATTGAGTAGCAGTTCCAAGAAAGATGTTTAAAGTTAATCCTGTTAAGATCTTCAACCTTTGAGTTATAGCTTTATCCAGAGCGTCTTTCTCATACTAGGTATCTACAAAGATGTTGGAGCCCACTTAAAAGGTCATGTGAACTTTCCTTGAGCCTTGCACTAAGAAATTCTAGTTGACTTTCTCCATAATCTGACATTGACAAGATAGATCTGGTTTGAAGACAGAGTACAGATTAGAAGCTGAGTACCTTTAACTCAGGTCTTCAAAGTCTAAGTTGTTACTAAAAGCTAAGATACCAAGTTATGAGTCATCAGATTCGGAGTCCTTTAGCTTCTCTTCATATGCTCTTATCAAAGTCAGAACCAAGTTGATTTTGAAGCTTATGATCCTACACACTTGAACATATGTTAATATATCCATTTGCTCATTAAATACTTTATTATCATTAAAATCTAAGGAATATGAACAATTTTGTTCTAACACGTCGCTCTTAGACATAGAAAGTATGTCCCACGAAAGTCATTGTAGTCTATTTGTCTTAGATCTTGACTTACCCCAGCAAAAAGAATTCATCATTTTCTCAATATCATCAATAAGTGAGGAAGATAACATAAAAATGCTCATGAAATAAGTTGGAATAGACAGAAATACTGATCTGATAAGAAATTTTCAGTCTGTCTTTGAGAGACATTTGCTACTCCAAGAGTTTATTTTTTTCTAAACTCTTTTTTTGATGTAGATAAAATTTCCTTCTTACTACTACCTTTCATGGATGAATGTCTCCACAATATTATTATTGACGATAACAGAATAATCAACAAATTCAATGCACAGCATTATCAAAGAAAAATGTAAGCTTGAGATTATCTTCGAAAGAGATGAACTGCTTAAAGAGAGTTTGTAGTACTATTTTACTTCTAAAATCTCTTAAGAATAGTTAAGACAATGAAGTGCTAATTTAAGATAACAATCTTTTTGGATTTGTATGATATACAAATTTATGGTCTTTATTGAGTTTAGTTGAAATTAAATTATATTTAATTGAGTTTAATAAAAAATAATTTAATTATTGGTGAATGTTCATTAGCGGTGAGAGGCCACATGTTTTTTTGTGTCAATGTTAAATATATACCTCTTATTTTTTAATCTTTTTAATAAATATATTTGTTTAATTTTTTTAATATTTATTTCTTAATTATTTCTAACATCATAGTTAATATTGAATTTTTCATTAATATAGAGAGAATCAAATATTATTTAAAATAACTATTTTAAAAGATTTTTATGATTTACTTCTCAAAATATAGGATTTTATATATATATTAATTCATGTTTTTTATTGAGTTAATGAAAAATAAATTAAAATTAATAGACTTTAATAAAAAAGATAAACTAAATTTTATTGTTGGTTGAAGATATTTGATGTTATAAATAAATGAAAACAAATAACTTAGGAT